ACTTGTCTGGACAGAAATGTATTAATCGGGCCATCACTTAGTGAAATTATGCAGATATGTGCACAGCACCTAGGATTTAAAATAGCAAAGAGAAATACAACTTGAAATAGCTGAAGTCAGAAGTTAGTCTGTGGAAAAACCCTACTAATTACTCAAATGTGTAAGATTGTAAGCAGAGGATTCGGTTATTTTCAGCTACTTAAAATATAAATACTCTCATGTCAGAAATAAACTATTTATTTTAGAATTTATTTCTCAGGGTTTTTATATGAAATTATATCAATTAAGTCATAGAATTTATACTATGACAAGACACAGACAAACTAGCCTATCAATGAGTGTTGTCAACACAGACACAGATACAGACAGACACACACACACACACACACACACACACACACACACACACACAGAGCTACTGCACAAGTACCTTCAAATGCCTTGAAGAGTAATAACTTATATAGGAAATAAACTTGGTAAGTTTTCACCAATTTGACAATTCTCATACTTTGTGTGATTTTATTACTGATGTTTTGCACACGTGAGAAGGTTTTCTAAGCCAAGGAGAGGAAATTTAAGAGTATAAAGCAAAAAGACTGTGGACCAGAAAAGAGGCACTTTAGCAGTTGATTAGTAATTGTCACTTTATGACTTGTGTTTACAGCATTTACCAATGTCCTGAGGGAATTTTGCTGGAATTTTTCTCATCATAAATAAATGAGGCTGTATTTGCTTTTGTTTCCTTTTCTAGTCCATAATGCCTTTAGCAGGAAGAATCCACTGTACTAGTTACTTCCTTCATTTCTATGACAAATTGAGGGAAGAGTATTTTGGTTCACAATTTGAGGGGACAATCGTTTATGGCAGGGAAGGCACAGTGGCAGGAGCAGGAGGCAGCTTGGAACATTAATTACACCCTCAGTCAGGAAGCAGGGAATGATGATCACTGCTGCTCAGCTCACTCCTTTTTATTCAGGTCAGGATCCCAGCCCGCAGGATGGTACCAACCAAATTCAGGGTGGATCTTCTCACCTCAGTTAACCTAATGTAGAGACTCATTCACAGAAGTGCCCAGAGGCATGTTTCACTAGTTATTATAAAACCAGTCAGGGAGATGATAACAATTAACCATTATACCACCAAGCCTCACAAGTCTGGAAAGGACACTGACAGACCCAATCAACATGGAAGACTATCTGGTGGTTGACTTCTTAACTCTAGCCTAGTGAGGGCCACAGGCACAAAGGCTTTTTCAAAGTATCATTATGTGTGCTAGACCTCTTTTAGTACTCCTTATTTACCCAACTCTTCTCCCTCCCAGGTTACATGACCCTCTAGACTCCAACCAAGTCATATCAGACAAAGGTTCACAGTGTCTGTGTTAATGGCTTACCACTGTGACTAGGATGTTCCATGGAGGAATAAAAAGGACATTTGAAAAAGATACTGGGGGCCAATGAGTGGAAAATATAGAAGACTTTGGACTGTATCATCTGTGGGAAGGTAAAATATTTAACCCCAAATATGTTTCTTTGGTATATTTAATTTGGACGATTCAGAAAAGCTACAGACAACTGCAGACAGGATGGTTCGGTGAAGTTGTGCCTTTGTAAAAAGAAATGTACATGTGTCTCTGCATTAGTAAAAGAAACGGTGAGTGTAGATATGAGCTTTTCTTCTCTACTTTCCCCAATTTCTGCCTAGGGAGCTCTTCCCACAGAAAGAAGAGATCGAGTGTGTGACATCTACTCAGATGGAGATGGCCACAGGTGGATTCTACCTGGGAAGACCTCATCTGCATCAGTCAATTCTTGCTGAGTGTGTGTTTTCTTTCCAAGCGTTCCATAGCCTCTGTCACTTTTTTTCATTCCAGAAGTCCAAGGTTAAATGATAGTCAACTTGAGCTGGGGCTATAGCTCAGTATGGAGCACTTCCCCTGGAAGTCAAAGCCCTGGATGTGACCCTCAGTACCACAAAAAAGGTGGGACAAGTATTTGGACCCATGTGAATTTAATACTCACATGCCTTAGAGATGTAATACAGTTTGTGTACTCTGTTTTCTGTCTGTTGCCCAATTATTTCGGAGATGAAAATTACTGAAACATCAGAGGGAAATGAATAAACTTAAAATTTCCCTTGCCAGGAACTAATTGGCAGCCACTCCATGATTTTGAATAAAAATATTCATACACACATGTGAGATAAAATAGTGAAAATGTTTTGATCATGTCAAATTCTTCATTATTATTTGGAGTGGTAGAATTATACTTTAAATTATATATAATAATGTTTTGAATTTTCATGATTATTTGTTATTTCTGTATTTAGTTTTATAAGATATATTAAAATTAATTTTGGTTGAATGTTATGGGAGATTATTTGATTAATTTGATTCTTCTCTGTTAATTTTTATATTTGGCCAATGTGGTTAATAAATAAAATGGCTCAGGCTGAGGTGGTGCATACCTTTAATCCCAGTACTTGGAAGGCAGAGCCTTGCAGATCCCTGAGTTCAAGGCCAGCGTGGTCTATAGAGTGAGTTTGAGGACAGCTAGGGCTACTCAGAGAAACCCTGTCTTGAAAAAAGTAAAGTACATTCAGTTGAAGCAGGTCCAAGCCCCTCCTCCCTGCACCAAGGCTGCACCAAGTATCCCATGGGAGACCTTGCCTTGGAGGAAGTGGGAATGGGGCGTGTGTGGAGGGGGAAGGCTGAGGGGCGGGAGGAAGGAGGAGAGGGGAATCTGTGGTTGGTATGTAAAATGAATAGGAAATCTCTTAATAATAATAAAAAAAGAAAAAAATAAAGTAAAATAAAATTAAAACAACTCAAAGGATTAACTTCCTAAGGCTATAACAATATATAGTTATATCAAATTAAGCCTGAACATTAAGTCTTATGATACTGAACACTAATATATTCTGACCTGAATGCATTTTGCTGTGGTAGTTTGAGAATGTCCGCTGTCAGCTCATTTGTTTCAATACTTGGACTTCAGTTGACAGAGCTGATTAGGAAGGATTAGAGGGCGTGGGCTTGTTGGAGGAGATGTGTCACAGGGTGGTCTTTGCGGTTTCAAAAGACTCATGCCATTTCCCCATTTCAAGCTAGTTCTCTTTACCTTCTGCTTGTGACTTGACATGTGGTTCTCAGCTGTTCCTGCTGCCATGCTTTTGTTCTACCAATCATAGGCTATCATCCTCTAGAACTATATATCCATTTCAGTGCTTTCTTTTATAAGTTGCCTTGATCATGGTGTTCTATCTCAGCAATAGAAAAGTAACGGATACAGCTGTATACTGTGAGTGACACAAAACACTTTCCTGGCAAGTGGTTACTTTAAATTGTAACTAAAAATCAAGATGTGTTGATCAAAAATGCAATTGTTATGATAATCTTATCTTGTGATGATTTGTGTGTTGCTGAAGTAGTATGTAAATACAGAAAAAGATTTAACTCTTCCTAGACCTAACTTAATTTTTATGTCTCCAGTATTTTTCTTACTGTGTCAAGTCTCAATATAGTTGACTGGAGACTGTCCTACATGGAAACTGTACACAGAAATCATACTTTCTTCCTGAAATACCACAAAAAACACTATTAAGATGGTCAGTGAACCATACTTATTACTAAAACATCTATCTTAGCCGCTTTGTGTGTCCTCTGTATAGCAAAATTAAACTGATATTTTTATTTTCATCTATGTTTCTATCTTAACCATGTTCCTTCCTTATATTTAGGGTTGCCAAGTGCTTTCATAAATAACACTATAGTTTCATTTATAAAAAATTGTTTTGATAAGGAAATGAGTACACCAAGGTATTTTTGCTCTTCCCCTTCAACTTTAGTTATAGACTAAATACTTCAAACAGTGTATGCCCAAAGCCTCCAGATCACTTCTGTAGCTGCTACTCAAGAACTTAGGTATCTATTCCTCTCCTGAAGCCTATACTTGACTCTTCTCAAGGGAATCTGCCCTTTCCCCTTATCAAAAGGCTCACTGATTTTGTTTCCCTTTGACTTTAGAATCTGAGTAGAGGTCCCTGAGGCTCTGAAACAAACTCCCCCTGCTTTTCTACCTGCAGGGAACTGTATTCTCTAATGCCAGTGACATTTCTTCATACTTATGAATGGCACTCTGTCTTCAAAGATACATTTAAAAGAAACAAAAGAGAAGAAAACATAGAACAAACACAGACATGATGGTGTGCAACTGTAGTCCCAGCATTTGAGGAACTGAGGCAGGATGACCATGTTTTGGGGGCTAACCTGAATTACATAATGTACTAGGGTACCTGGGGATATAATGCAAGTTCAAGGCCAGCCTGGGATATATAGAAAGTTCAAAACTGAACTGGGCTATCCAGCAAGGCATTATTTTTTGATTTTTTTTCAAGCATTTGAGATTGGACTCAGAGCCTCATACATGCTAGTGAGTTACAACCAGAACACACAGGCTCCATCTTGAAGACACAAAACAAGCAAAAACAACACAGGACAAAATGAAACATATTCTAATACCACAGTTGAGTTTTTCTGAACAGAAGCATCCAATGAGAAGAGGACCACAAAAAAGCTAGATGAAGAGCAATAGGGGAAAATGTCTTTCTGGGTTTGTGCATTACTTCCTTTATGCTATTTTATTTAAGATGCTTTTAAAGGTGACAGTGATATTTTTATATGTCTACTGATATAATTATAACATCTTATTTTCTACCCACTTTTATTGCACAACAGAAAATAATTCTAAATTATCATCTTTCACTCATAACGTGATGATGTGACCGAAAAATAAAATGGCCTGGTTTTCAGAGTCCCATACCTGGCTTTTTGAGGACTGGTTAGTAGGTGGGTTCTGACACCTCACAGAGGGGCGCCTCCAGCCTCCAGCCCTGCTATTGGTCAGGTTCTGACCAATAAGGTGGTTGCTAGGTGCCAGGTGGAGAAGAGACGCCCTGCGACCATTTCGTCTGTGTTTTGCGGGAGTGTAGTCAGGCTGTCAATGGAAAGATACCAGCTCTGGTCACCATGGACCCCACTGGATGAGAACTTGCGATGGCTGCGGCACACAACACCTACCCTTTCCTCCAAACACCCGTTTAGGGTTTCTCCTTGTTTCCCAAAGAGCCCTTCTGACTTTGAAATACAACAATGCTTTCAGGAAGTCTCTGTAGTCTTAGACAGCCCACCGATGGAAACTGGAGAGAGCCCGGAGTTACCTGGCCAATTCCCAAAGCAGGAAACCACCACCAAGAAGAATGAATTGGTTAGGAAGCCCCAGCCCGTCCGTCTCATTGGAGTGGATTCTGTCTTTGGCAGGATTATTACAGTCCAGCCACCCAAGTGGACTGGAACCTTCAGAGTTTCAGACCATTCAGCCTTCAGCAAAATTATCAGCAAGGAACAACAGTGGCCCATTGGTCTCAAGGAGCCTCAGATTGAGATGACCATGGCCATGTGTAAACAGATGCTACGCTCGATCCTCCTTCTGTATGCGACATACAAAAAGTGCACCTTTGCCCTGCAACACTCCCAGTAAAGAGTCCCCATGTGACCCCTGAACTTCACACCACACTCTATGGTATGTACCTGGAACTTACACAGATCTGTCCACGTAACTCAGTCTGTAATATCATGCCTGACATTTTGCTCCTCTGTCAAGCTGTGACAATTCCCCACCCTTTCTCTTCAGAATCAGGGCCAACAAACCTGAGCAAGGAAGAACATTTCTGTGGAATGACATTTAAAAGTTAAACCACCATGGACATGGTCATGTGGTAAAGAACAGTTCAACAAATCACATACACCAGACAATCTAGTGTGAACACATTCAAGCCCCAAAGATAATGAAGAGCTGGGGGCAGAAAAGGAACATTTTTAAAAAGACATGCATGGGCTTTCTGGGTACCAGAAGATGAAGGAATCAAAAATCAAATCTTTGTGTGGGTTAAGGACTAGTTTGAGATCAGGCTTCCATAATCAAACAGATATGACAACAGCAAACCCTAATACCAACATGTGTAAAAATATTAACAAATATTAATCTTTACAGCCTGGCAAGGACGAAATTGATAGCAGCTTCGAGACTGGACGTTTTGGTGGAAGTCAGGAGAGTCCCCATTTTAGTTCCTGGTGTTCAATTTCCAATAAACCACAATTGTTTTATTTGAAAAGAGTTTAAAGTTTCTCATTTCAAACTTTAATTTAGTCCTGAAAATATAATTCTTATACAATGAATAGAAAAAAAACCCAAATGGTAGTTTCACTCTATTGTAACTGGGTTCTGTTAAAATTGTGAGTTTAAAAATTGTCCTACAAATGTTGAATATTCTCTAATTGGAGGCTCCTAGCTCCAAATCTTCAAATGTGAATACATAGCCTGTAGTGAGTATAGAAACCAGGAAAGTAAAATGGGACCATTGCTAGGATAGGAGACTAGCTTTCATGGTACCAGGAGGTACCATGTAAGCTTCTAATGAAGAGAGACAACCAACCATCCTATCTAGCTATAACACCCCTGAACCACATCAGGGGTGGCACCATCCACAATGGGTAGGACCCTCTCATACCAATCATCAATTAAGAAAATGACATGCAGGCTTGCCTACATCCTGACCTTATGAAGCCTTTTTCTCAATTGAGACTCCCTCATCTCTGATGATTCTAGCCTGTGTCAAGTTGACATAAAACTAGCCAGTACAACCGACACATTGTCATCCTGACACACAAACACATCACTGTTGTGCATTCATTTTCATTGAAATCTAGGAAGTCTTTAATTTCTTTATTTCTTGCTTGACCCAGTGGTGATTTAGTTGAGCATTACTCAGTTTCCATGAGTTCATACATATTCTGCAATTTGTGTTGTTGTGTTTTAACTTTAAACCATGGTGAGTAGATAAGATACAGGAGGTTATTCCGATTTTTTGTATCTATTGAGATTTGCTTTTTGATAGAGTATGTGGTCAGTTTTAAAGAAGGTCCTATGAGGTGCTTAGAAGAAGGTATATTCTTTTGTGTTTGGGTTGAATGTTCTATAGATGTCTGTTAAGCCCATTAGAGTCATAACATCTGTTAGTTCCCTTATTTCTGTATTAAGGTTCTGTCTGGCAGACCTGTCCATTGGTGAGAGTGGAGTGTTGAAGTCTCCCGCAATTAGTGTGTGGTGTTTGATGTGTGATTTAAGCTTTAGTAATGTTTCTTTTCTTTTTTTTTTTTTTTTTTGGTTTTTTCGAGACAGGGTTTGCGCCTTTTCCTGGAACTCACTTGGTAGTCCAGGCTGGCCTCGAACTCACAGAGATCCGCCTGGCTCTGCCTCCCGAGTGCTGGGATTAAAGGCGTGCGCCACCACCACCCGGCTTAGTAATGTTTCTTTTACAGATGTCGGTGCCCTTGTATTTTGAGCATAAATGTTCAGAATTGAGACTTCATCTTGATGGATTTTTCCTGTAATGAATATGAAATATTCTTCTCTATCTCTTTTGAATACTTTTAGTTTGAAATCTATCTTGTCAGATATTAGGATAGCTACACCAGCTTTTTTTTTAGGTCTACTTGATTGGAAAATCTTCTCCCAACCCTTTAATCTGAGGTAATGTCTGTCTTTGAAGTTGAGGTGTGTTTCTTGTATGCAGCAGAAGGACAGATCCTGTTTTCATATCCATTCTGTTAGCCTGTGTCTTTTTATAGGTGAATTGTGTCCATTGATATTAAGGGATATTAATGACCAGTGATTGTTAATTCCTGTTATTTTTGTTGTTGTTGTTGTTAGTGTGTGTGTTTCCCTTCTTTGGGATTTGCTGGTGTGAGGTTATCTATTGAGGCTTTCATGGGTACAGCTAAGTTCCCTGGGTTGGAGTTTTCCTTCTATCACTTTCTGTAGGGCTGGATTTGTGGATAGGTATTGTTTAAATCTGGTTTTGTCATGGAATATCTTGTTTTCTCTGTCTATGCTGATAGAAAGTTTTGCTGGGTATAGTAGTCTGGGCTGGCATCCGTGGTTGCTTAGTGTCTGCATAATGTCGGTCCAGGACCTTCTCTCTTTCAGTGTCTCCATTGAAAAGTTGGGTGTAATTCTGATGGGTCTGCCTTTATTTATTTATTTATTTATTTATTTATTTACTTATTTAGGATTTTCGAGACAGGGTTTCTCTGTGTAGCTTTGTGCCTTTCCTGGGACTCACTTGGTAGCCCAGGCTGGCTTCGAACTCACAGAGATCCGCCTGCCTCTGCCTCCCAAGTGCTGGGATTAAAGGCGTGTGCCACCACTGCCCAGCTGGGTCTGCCTTTATACGTTACTTGACCTTTTTCATTTGCAGCTCTTAATATTCTTTCTTTATTCTGTATGTTTAGTGTTTTGGTTATTATGTGGCGAGGGGACTTTTTTTTTTGGTCTAATCTATTTCGTGTATCTTCATAGGCATTCCCTTCTTTAGGTTGGGAAAGTTTTCTTCTATGATTTCGTTGAATATATTTTCTGTGCCTTTGAGCTGGTATTTGCTTCCTTCTTCTATCCCTATTTTTTGGTTTAGTCTTTTCATAGTGTCCTAGATTTCTTGGATGTTTTGTGTTAAGACTTTGTTGGATTTAACATTTTCTTTGACTGATGAATCTATTTCCTCTATCATATCTTCAATGCCTGAGATTATCTCTTCCATCTTTTGCATTTGTTGGTTATGCTTGCATCTGTAGTTCCTATTCGTTTACCCAGATTTTCTATTTCTAGAATTCCCTCTGTTTCTGTCTTCTTTATTGCCTCTATTTCAATTTTCAAGTCTTAAACTGTTTCCTTCACCTGTTTGATTATTTTTTCTTGGCCTTCTTTAAGGGATTTATTGATTTCTTCCAATTTTTGGTTTGTCTTTTCCTTGATTTCTTTAAGGGAATTTTTCATTTTCTCTTTAAGGGCCTTTATTATCTTCATAAAGTCATTTTTAAGGTTGTTTTCTTCTGCTTCATCTGCATTGGGCTGTTCAGGTCTTGCTATTGTAGAACCACTAGTTTTTGGTGGTGTCATATTGCTGTTTATGTTGTTGAATGTATTCTTAGACTGCTGTCTGGGTTTGGGGTAATTATAGGTACAGGTGTTGATTGTTCTTCCAATTAGTGCAGGTGGTGCCTGTGCCTCCTGGGGCTGCTCTTCCCCTAATCCAGTGCAGGTGGTGTCTGTACCTCTGTGGGTTGCTGATGCCTTGGGGGATGGTTAGTCAATGATGATGGGTTCTGTGTGTTTGGGGGGGCAGAATGGGACTTGTAGGTTACAGGGTCCAATGGGTGGTGGAGGTGGTGGAGCGGTCTTGCTGGTCTCTTCTTAATCACTGCTAATTTCTCAGCTTCAATTGACCAGCATTGAGTATCCCAGCAAAGCAAAGGTTTCACTTTAGTAGTTCTGGTATTTTGTTAACCATAGCTGTTTTTTTTTAACCCAGCTAATGAGAACCACAGACAGTTAATTCAAAATAACAAATGGTCTGACAGAGTCTTTAAATTTCCTGTTGAAACTTCCCAAGCCTGGCTTCTATTGTCCTCAATATTCTTATCTTCCAAGCTCCTACAGAACATCTTATCAAGCTTTGAACACTCAGTGGCTTTTGTAGCCCCAAATTCCAAAGTCCTTCCACAATCTTCCTCAAAACAACATAGGCATGTCTGTTACTCCTGGTACCAACCTATGTCTTAGGGTTACTGTCACTGTGATGAAACATCATGACCAAAGCAACTTGGGGAGGAAAGGGTTTATTCAGTTTACTCTTCCACATCACAGTTCATCATCCAAGGAAGTCAGGAGAGAAAGTCAAACAGCACAGGAACCTGGAGGCAGGAGCTGATGCAGAAGCTGTACAGAGATGCTGCTTACTGGCTTGCAACCCCTGGCTTGATCAGCCTGCTTTCTTAAAGAACCTGGTAACACAAGCTTAGGGATGACAGCACCTGTAATGTGCTGGGCCCTCCCCCATAAATCGCCTATTATGAAAATGCCCTACAGGATTACTGACAGCCTGATCTTATGGAGGCATTTTCTCAATTTAGAATCCCTCCTCTGGGATGACTCTAACTTGTGTCAAGTTGACATAAAACTAGCTAGTCCAAATGACATCAATGACAAGCATGGCACAATAACTTTATGGGTGCAACGGCAGCACACATACCTTGGCAGTAACCAATGGCTCTCTGGACCTAAGACCCACTCAACTAGGAAACCATGCCTGGTGCTGGAAACGTAGCCAACTATTCAGTGCTAGCGATCTCATGGATATTGGAGGAGAATCTATAACCACTAATATACTAAACCAGCATAATCCCTAACAACAGTCTGTAAACATTTGTGCTTATACCCACAGATAGGTGTAGTCTTCACCCCTTACCAAGGAAACGACTCTTTCCAAGAGATGGAAATCACTACAGAAACCCAAAAACAATCAATACGCAGAGTTGCAAAGCCCAGTCCTAATGAATACATCTACGAAACACTCCCACTTCTAAATATAAGGGATGATTGTGGAAGAGGGGGCAGAAAGATTGTAAAAGTCCTCTGAGGATCAGGGAATTTGCTTTGAGGTGTGTCTCCTAGAAAAATTAGAGGTTATACTCATAAAGTCTCACCAACATGACCCCCAAATGTGCACCAAACAAGAACACCAAGGAACGTGTCAAACTGGATAAGGAAAAGCTGATGACCCTACACAAAGGACTACAGGCAACTGAGTAAAAATGGGAGCAAGAGAGGAGGCCCTCCCCCATGGAAGAGCACACCAATTGTCAAATGGTCGGTCAGCCCTTGTACATGCATACAAGTAACATATTGACTCCACAGGTTACATTTGGGAATATATATGTATGTACAAATACATATATGGAATGCAATAACAATTGATGAAAAAAAGGAGACCATTAATTTGAAGGAGAGCAGGGAGGGGTGCCTGAGAGGGATTGGAAGAAGGGAAGGGAAGGGAGAGATTTGTAATTAAACTAATCTCAAAAATCAACAAAAAACCAAAAACCTGTTTTAATAAAGCACAAAATTGTTCACTGAAGGCACTAATCTCTTATTGATTGCAGATAATTTTTCAGCCCCAGCTGATTAGCAAACACAGATTCTAAATCCAAAATGTTACCCACACTAC